AGCTATACAATGCATTAAATTAGTCAAAAGTGACAGTGAAGACCTTTACAATGTTACAAAAGAGTTTTCAAATAAATGCTGTTTTCCTTTCATCAAAGAATCAAGAATCTGAAAAAATTCACAGTTTCAACAAAAATATTGAGCAGCACAACTGTTTTCAACATTGATGATAATAAGAAATGTTTCTTAAGCACAGTCAGCATATTAAAATGATTTCTGAAGGATCATATGACACTGAAGACTAATGGCTGCTGAAAATTCAAATTAAACGTCTCCATCACAGAATACAGTAATTTTTTGTAATATATATCAATAGAAAAGGTTATTTTAAATTGTATTCATATTTCACCATATTACTATTCACACTATATTTTGATAAAATAATTGCAGCATTGGTGAGCATAAGAGACTTCTTTCAAAAACATTTTAAAACTCTAAATTTTTGAATGGTGGTGTATATATAAACCAACCAGTTATTGTAAATATATTGACTTGCTGACAAGATAAACGATTGACTATTATAAATATTGCCTATTTTCTGAAAAGACAGAAATTATGATTAAAACAAAATGGTTTAGAATTAACACTGGTCTATTTATTTCTATCTATTTATTTCTAAACTGCTCAAGTGCCCTGTTTTTCCCCTCACAAACTCTCTCAAACTTTTGTCTTTTTCTAACTCTCCGCTGCTCTGACCCTTCCTAAAAACATAAACACTAGACTCTGAATGTTTTCTTTTCCTTTTGGTCACAAACATAAAAGCACACATGGACCAAATACTAAGAAAGTCAATACTTGGGTTTGCTAAGAAACAAGATCTATTCCTGCAGATTTCTGGAAATGTAACTTCTGTGTACACCCTCACACACACACACACACACACACACACACACACTGCTCTCCACACTCTGCATGTCATTGAAAGGCAACTGCAGTGAAATGTTCAGCTGCCAAACCCATATTCATACAATGTCCCTGCCTTGAGTTACTGCAGTAAGTGTGTGCTCCTGCTGCTGAAATAATGCTGGGTATGTGTGTGATGAAGAGGGGGTGGGGGGAAGGACTTTATGGGTCCTTATGAAGATGTGAATTGTGTTTTGTTACGTGGCATGGTGTGTGAACTCCAATAAGAGAAAGAGATTAGTTGCTCTTTGCTGGCTTTCAAGCTTTCAAAGGAACTGCATTCAAATGGAAAAATTAGACATATGCCATTGGGCTGGTTGATATATAGTATAGAATATTTACAATATGTTCAGAATTAATTTTTCATTATATTATGTTGTGTACTTCTTTTTTTGGCCATTAAAGAGTGTGTCCGTTTCACAGTCTTTTCTCACATCTGGTAAGAATGAGAGCATCAAGACAGATGTTTTACTATCATCTTGATTTAAACTTCATTTGCAAAAATGTCATTTTGATTCATTTATTTGAATCAACCAGATCCGAAACTCTGATTTAATAAATCACAGTGAATTAACATTGCACAGAAGTCTAATGTGATATTTTTTTATGTATTAAATTAAGTACATAATGTTAAGATATATGATGAATATTGTCAAAGGGTAAAAAAAAATCTATCCTTCTTTTTTTTCTGTTTTGTTATCCACCATTTACTGTATGCAATATTTATTTATTTTAGCTATTGCTCAGCCATAGTCTCAACATCAAAATTATGACAAACCTTCAGTTAGATTGTCTCAATATTTAAAATGTCCTCTTAATCAATATAATTTTCTCCCGTCTAGCTCTTTCGTAAGGGTTGGCAGGTTTATATCCCTGTGGTTTTGGTTTGGTTGATTTGAGGGCAAGTGCCTGCTGGTTACAGGTTTGTATAGTCACTGGCTTCCTGACATAACAAAAATTACCAGTCAGAGCGCAATAACATTCACAGAGAGCACCAGATAACCAAAACACATCTCTCAGAAGAAGAATGTGAGCGAAGCCATAGTTGTGTGTGTGCATTGCGTGTCTGCTGACATTGATGGATTGTTACCACATGTTGCTGACGGACAAAAAGGTCTCTGTGTTCCAGAGAGATACTGTATGCAGCTGGGCGCTCAGTTAACAGCCTCCCCCAACACACACACACACACACACACACACACGTGTGCAGAGAGATCATACACATCATACTGACTACTAGACATTTACACAAAATGGCACAAAATGTAAACGCAACAGTTTGTCATTTTTTTAAATTAAAAGACCAAAAAATTGTTAGTGTCTCATTAGTTTCAGGCTGAAAGGATGAGCTTTTCAGATTAAGGAAAGGGTGGGTATGTGTTTTCTGACTGAGAGGATAATTATAGGGTTTACAGGGTGTGTGCACTGCACTTGTGCATTTCATAGTTTGTATGTGGCGAATAGTAAGTAAGCATTTTATTGAAAGTATACTGCGTATGGATTGATACGTTTGAGCTGGGGGCTTCCTGCACAAATATCTCATGTGGTGGATATAAATCCAAACCTTTTCTTTTTCTGCAAGCAATATTATATTTTATGGTAGTGCAAGGGCAGTAGAGTTGCTATGAGTCACCTCTGAAAAGTGTTAACAGCCACAAAGACACTGATACTCTGACAATCAAAACACATGCACAAACACTCAATAAACACTTAAGGTTTTCTCCTGAGGGCCTTACCTAGAACAAGATTATGCAGTAAGGAAAAGTTAAAATAAGAGAGGTATATTCATGGAAAGAAAGGAGAAAATATACTGTATTTGATGTAATTGGCATAAGTTTGTTTTTGGTGTCAGTGCCACAAGTTTGTTTAGAGCTGCCAAGCAAGCAGAGGAAGAAAATGAATCGGTTTTAATGACTTCATTCACAACATGCTGCTCCATTGAGGTTTTAGTCATACCCTTCCGCCTCTTTTCCCTCACACACACAAACATTATGCCATTAATCTCTAGAGAGACTTGGCACTGTAAACACCGGTATCCGTGGTATCGCTCATCATAGCTCAACACACACATCTCGCGAGTCACGGGACGGGGTACTTAAGTTGAGAAATGTGCTCATCAACATGAACTATGCTTTTATGTCTGAGAGTTGTAAATAATAAGGCGCAGTATATATTAGAACGTATATGATAATTGAAATATTTAGCATATATTGATGTCTGTATATCCCAATGCATCCGTCTGCACTATTGAAGGGAAAAAGAGAATGTTTTAGAAACGTAACCTCTCTGTTCTGCCAAGGTTACCAGCTATAAAACGTTTCCTCTGCTAAGTTACATGGCACATTGTGCTTTCTCAGGCTCTTGAGATCACATTGTACATGTAATACACAATGACATCTATTTTCCACTTGTTTCCTATTCATTAGTGCTGAAAAGTACCTGCTCTTCAGATATCATAAATTAGGTTGGTGTCTTGTACGTTACATAAATTGCATATAGACAGGTAGATAGATAGATAGATAGATAGATGTACTTTTATCAAGTGATTATTTCCTGAATCATGTGATGATATGATTAATAACCATCCGTTTTCTCTGCTCTCTGTCTGCTTTCTTTCTAGAACTCCATCCGGCATAACTTGTCCTTGCATAGCCGTTTTATCCGTGTACAGAATGAGGGGACTGGAAAGAGCTCGTGGTGGATGATCAATCCTGAAGGGGGGCGGGGAGGTAAAGCGCCAAGGCGACGTGCAGTCTCCATGGACAATGGTAACAAATACACCAAAACTGCACGTGGGCGTGCAGCCAAGAAAAAGGCAGCGCTGCAGGCTGCCCAGGAGGGTTCGCTGGAGAACGTATCTGCTGGTGGTCTGTCCAAGTGGCCAGGAAGTCCCACTTCCCGGAGCAGCGATGAACTGGAATCCTGTTGGACTGACTTCCGCTCACGAACTAACTCCAACGCTAGCACCCTGAGTGGACGCCTGTCACCTATCCTGGCCAATCCAGAGCTTGATGATGTTCCAGATGGCCCACCCCTGTCTCCAATGCTCTACTCCAGCCCCAGCAGTCTTTCTCCTCCCTCGTCGTCCTCATCAAACTCCAAAACGTGCCCTGCTGAACTTCCAGGGCTAGCTGACTTGACTGGCACAATGAATCTCAATGAGGCTGACAACCTAATGGTCGATCTGTTGGACAACATCGCCACACAAGTGCAGGTAGTTCAAGGGTCTTCTGCGTTCAGTTTTGGCTCCAAGAGCACCACATCACCCACAAGCTCCTCTTCATCCCAAACTGTGAGCAACAACACCGGTGGATTCAGTAACACCATTTTTGGGTCTACAGCAGGAGGCCTACGTCAGACGCCCATGCAGACCATCCAGGAAAACAAGCAAATGTCATTCTCTAGCGTTTCTTGTTTTGGGAACTCACTTCAGGAGCTGCTGAATTCTGATTCTCTGGTCACACACAGTCATAGTGACGTCATGATGACGCAGTCGGACCCACTCATATCACAGGCCAGTGCTGCTGTCACCTCTCAAAACTCCCGTCTTCGCAATGGCCTCATGCTGCGTAATGATCCCATGATGTCATCCTTCAGTTCTGTGCTCAATGGGCGAAGCAGCCACCTCCAGAACAAGCAACAGGGGTCCAATGTCCAGGGTTCTTTGCGTTCCCTCTCCAACAACAGGGCGCAAAGTCTAGCTAACAATGCTAATAATTTAGTCTCTGCAAAACAGCACCTCCAGCCACAGCCCTCCATGTTGATGACCGAGACTTCGCTTTACTCTGGCCTGAATGGAAGTAACGGGGTGGGGATCTGTCACCCCTCAGGAACAGATCGTTTTCCATCAGACTTGGACCTGGACATGTTTAACGGCAGTCTGGATTGCGATGTGGATTCCATAATTCGCTCAGAACTAATGGACTCTGATGGACTGGATTTTAACTTTGATGCACTGGTGCAAAACGCCGTTAGTCTGAATCCTGTGGGAAACTTCACTGGGACGAAGCAATCCACTCAAAGTTGGGTGCCTGGCTGACGGCAGTCATTTAGGTAAGCCAAAATATACAGTCATACAGTGGCTGTCCATGTCATGGAGAGAAAAAAAAGCAATTTGATAAAAGACAAACAAATTTCAGTTTGACTAGGAAAGGAATATTTTAATAGGGGCCATTCAAACAGGACAAAGGCAGGATGCAGCACAGTGGAATGGAAACAAGGTCTAGAGACACTGTTTTTTAAGCTTCTTTCAACTTGAGCACTGCATTTTTTGGAACGCTGTGTCATGCGTGAGATGCTGCAAAGACCCGAGACACAAACACACTGGTCAAAGCTGTCTGTGTACCACATGTTTACATAGAAAAACCAATGGAAAGTACTGCAGTGGAATGCAAAATCACTTTTTGTTTGAACGGCCCCTTATACTGTACAGGATGTGTTTTGTTTTTCTTATTACATTTCTTATTACAGAGTATTACTTACTTTTCTTTCTCTCTATCTAGGCTCAGAACTGCAGAGAAAACAACAAACAATAGAATAACAACTACAAAGAAATATCCTGCACAAAAAAAAAAAAACATCCAACAGACTTGAAGTATCCTTTGCCAAGTTTGCTGTCTGCGGCAAGCACTTGATGATATGCCTGTTTGCAGGTCCATCTGACTACAACATTCGGATGATGTTTACCTTCAGTTCAGCAGACCGAGACTATAACAAAAGACTACCCATTGGAGAAACAAACAAACAGCGAACTCACAGATCATTATGCAACATTATGCAATGTTTGCAATTATCCCTTTCTTAGAGGTGATGTAATCTAAAAAGAAATTTAAAGAGGCCTGTTGTAGCTTTTCTGTCATAAACATAGTTTCCTTGGCCGGGGTCTCTTTCTGCTTTCCCTAACATTTTTGTTAAATGATTGGCTACTTCTGTCATCCTCTAATCACTAACTGTGTAGTCACTGATCGATATAGAGGTGGAGACTTGACCTGAAAAATTACAGAACTCAGGTGGAGTAATGTAGCTCGACACAGTGCACTTAAACCATTGCTTTCATTTTTAATTCACTGTTACCATTCAGTAGTTAGCCTAGTTCCCAATCTGAAATATAGTTGCCTCATAATAATACTTAAGTAATACATTTTTGTGATTGAATATAACCATATAAGGAGTAACTAATTTGTGTGTACTGTCTGTAACTGTACAAAAAAGTGGTAAAATTGAAAGCCTAGCAGGTGGAGGCGTCTTATTTAGCCAGCAAAGTTATGTTTGGACTTCTCACATATAAATGTAGCCAAATGTAATGAACAAGTAAATATTAACTTGCATCGACATTTCCATGCCATACCAGGTGCTAAATAATCAGTGTTGAGCCCTGTCCTATCATTAAGGCCATCTGTGTTTCCCTGGCCACGAGGACATAGTATAATTGATTAGCATTAGCGATTAGCATCACGGCAGCATTCAATGATGGATGGGCCTTTCCTCATGAAGCCATCTTTACTGAGCAAAAACAATAAGCTATCTTTTATATATTTGCCAAATTACTTGAAAATGTAGGAGATGCTGGCAGCCAAAATCACAAAACACACAGTGAAATTGGGGACTTTTCTGTCCCTGTATGCAAAATGCATCACTATTGCTCAGGGGAGAGTGGGGTCTCCATTATAACATCAGGGCCTCATCTTGAATTAACTGCAACCTGGCTGTACACAATTTCAAAAATGTTTTATGGACATTTGTACATGAATAACAGTCTTCTGAAGTAAGGAGATGAAGCAACAGGAATCCATCCTGTGTTATTGTCAGTTTATTGATGTCTTTATGGGGGGTTTGTCACTTTATTAAACTTGTAATGAACAAGTAAATATTAACTTGCATCGACATTTCCATGCCATACCAGGTGCTAAATAATCAGTGTTGAGCCCTGTCCTATCATTAAGGCCATCTGTGTTTCCCTGGCCACGAGGACATAGTATAATTGATTAGCATTAGCGATTAGCATCACGGCAGCATTCAATGATGGATGGGCCTTTCCTCATGAAGCCATCTTTACTGAGCAAAAACAATAAGCTATCTTTTATATATTTGCCAAATTACTTGAAAATGTAGGAGATGCTGGCAGCCAAAATCACAAAACACACAGTGAAATTGGGGACTTTTCTGTCCCTGTATGCAAAATGCATCACTATTGCTCAGGGGAGAGTGGGGTCTCCATTATAACATCAGGGCCTCATCTTGAATTAACTGCAACCTGGCTGTACACAATTTCAAAAATGTTTTATGGACATTTGTACATGAATAACAGTCTTCTGAAGTAAGGAGATGAAGCAACAGGAATCCATCCTGTGTTATTGTCAGTTTATTGATGTCTTTATGGGGGGTTTGTCACTTTATGAAACTTTTTTGTTTGTTTGTTCAGTTGTGCTCAACTATTATCACAAATCATGTACAAATCCTAATGTTCTGTGTTTCTGTCCCTCGGAGAGGGTTACCCTTCACTGCATACGTCCTTGTATGCATGCATGTAAATGTACATATGCACCATGTGTAATGCATATATATGTATACATCCTGCTATACTTATGAAATTTTGTGTTAATACAGATATACCTTTTAAAGTCCATGTGTTATAAAATAATGTAATTGTTAATTGGGCAGTTGGACAGACATGGCTTACAGCAGGTGTGTCAAATGAAACATTACTGTATGCATTTAACTCTTTATGCACACTACATGCATTTCATAAATGAGTAACGCTGCTCTAATAACCAATAATGTGTAAAAACAAAAGCAGAGCAGATTAAATTTACTATGTCACATATCTTTTGATTATATGCTTGCAAATTTGGTAATTAGGGAATATTAATCAAACATCATTGACAAGAGAAGTTTAGATGCAAAAACATGCAACAATGTAAATTAAAGTGTTTATCTGGCCTACTGTAGGTAAAAAGTAAAATCTAGTACAAAATACTGATATAATAAATAAATGCATAATTTTAGCCATATGTTTGACACACCTGCTTTACTCCAAGATTCCACACCCTAAAGCTTTTGCCTTCATCATATTCATTTGTCAAACTCAAATTGTAACTAATGATATCCAGTACACAATGAATTGGTAAATTACCTCTACAAGACATCTGAACCTTATAAATTTTTCAGAGACAATATTTTTACTGTCTCAAAAATTGCCTTGCATGTATTCTTAAATACCATAAAATTCTTGTTTATCCAGATGACTGACACAGGTACATGGCTTCCCATTTACAACCAGTTGAGCATCCTCAAACAACACAGGTTTTATTTACTGCACCCATCATTATAATAAGCAAATACCGCTATTTCCACATTTTCCCACCTTGATCGTAGCCTTCCTCCCTCACCTCCTTCTGCTTATTACATTTGCTCTTTTACTTCTTATCTTATAGTCATATGACTTCTCTACTAGATGTTTGTGAGTATTTTTCCTGTGTACTCCATTTTGAATTGTAATCTAGTTTGTATAAGAAATGTTGCGCATGTAAATAAAGCTTGGTTGAGCTATACAGTATGTCTCTGCTGTTGTTTTAAGTTAATTTAAAATTCAATCCATTTAAACTTTGAACAAGTCCCAACAAGATGGTTTTCCATCAACTATTTTGTTTCTTTTATTTAAAATTGACTTCCCTTTTGCTTTGGCTTATTTTCAGTGACCTCTTAAAACAGCAGTCACTTTGGCGAAAGACTATAATCTTTGAAAATGAATACATTTGTCAAGTGTTACATTGAACCTTGGCACATTCCCTTGTGAAGTTATGGTGCACTGACAATATATATACTGTA